TTTCGGTCGATCCAGAAAACCGGGAAATTGAGATATCCGGGATAGCGATGGTCCCGAGCATCCCGGATAATTGGTTCTCTACTGTATTATTAAAAATTTGTAGATTTTCTGCACATTTTTATTGTGTATGAATTATAGAAAAATAGAATGTTCTCTCTGTATCTACTACTTTCACAGGATCTGAGCAGGAATAATTTGACCAGAAATTTTGGTATAAATTGAAAGTTTCCTAGTTTTTGTGTAATTTTAGAGAATTTGCTGATATTCAAAAAATTTGATTTAAAAAAAAAAACTCCTTATAAAATAGTTTTTTATTAAAATTTTTGTTTTCTTGAGACTTTGGCAGTCATAGTCTTTAAATATCCTTGAGAAGTGCTCGACTTTCAATTTTCATAGGCTATTGGAAATGATTGTAAATTCCTTGAAGTTGTTTAGAAACTCTTTAAAATGAAAAATTTTGCCACCAAAAATTTTTCAAGTTACATTTAATTAGTGCAATCATGGGGCAAATGTATGCTCATAAAAAGGGTTCATTTTTAAATAGGATAACTGTTATTTTTTTATACCATGAAGTTCAGAGAACTGGAAGAAAAAAAATTTTATTGACCCATAAAATTTAAATTTAAGAAAAAATTGAGAAAATTTTCTTGCTTATTGAGTGGGCATTTATTGCAATTAATTTCAACCTGTGTCGTCTGTTTCAATGGCAAAATGTTTTTTTTTCTTAATTTTTGGAACTTGTTCATTAATTGCTATTAAGTTACTTAAGTATTTCAATATAGATTTTAAAATATTTACATCCTCTTTATTTTTTCCCCCCTGAAGCTTTGTGCTTTTTTTTTCCTTGAAAATTCTTAAAGCTCTGAAGCTTTATTTTGAAAATAGAGAAAGAGAGCCCTGTTTAAATAAGTAATATTATCAAACAATAAAGAAAAGATCATTTATATTATAAGTTGAAAACTTTTAAATATTTTATTTATTTATTTTTATTGAGAACTTATTATTTTTAAATCAGTTCAAAATATTTGTTTAGCTCGGAAAGTGCTAGTCACAGCTAACTTAAGTGAATGCAATTTTTATTTCTATTTAAAATTATCATTTGAAAAATGTAAATAGCATAAATAAAAATATTTATAGTCAAGTCTGTCTCAATCAGACGAAACCTTTTTTTTAAAACTGTATCTCTCCAACAGAAAAATTTATATTCATAATGTTTTTGTTTTTAATTTTTTATTATGAAAATTTCAGTTTTCATGAAGTTATGCCCACTTTTTATACAGTATGCAATAATTTTTATAGCACATAAGTAATATCACTAACAGAAATTAAAAGAAAATTTAGAGTTATTAAAGTTAAGCAGATTTTCATTTTTTCTTTTGAAATATCCTTAAAATTATTCTCCTGGAACATTTTATGCATTTCACGACATTTATATATTATCTTAAATTGTTTGTACTGCAAACTATCATAAACTAACATTATTGCAGCAAAATTATATTTATAGTTATTAAAGTAATATAGTTTTGGCATTTAATATTTCCCTTTATATTAAAAGAATTTCCTGTATAGACCATTTTGTGTATTCAATAGTTACCAAAAATTATCAGTTTCAGAAAATCTATAAGAGATTCATATCAGAAAATTTGATAAAACTGATATCTAAACTAGTTTTCTATTCTTTAGTTCTATATATACAAAAATTTGTTGGATTTTGATTGGGGTGGTTCGCTTAAACATTGGTTTACGGCAACATATGGGTCCTCATAATTTAATTGACATTGATGCTAAAAATAGATATCAAAGGCAGTAATTATAGAACATTACTTGGTATTATAAGTAAAATGAAAAATGGAAAGAATAGCTGTTTTTCCATAATTTATTCCCATAAGAAACATTATTCATAGTATTTAATAATTTGTAAATTCTGATCGAAATGCATATTTGATCAATTGTATTAAGAGTTGTATTAAAGTTGCATAAATTCGATAATATGGAAATTATAAATTTGATTTAATGTATTTCATGAAGACGAAAAAATTTAAAAGTAATAAGTTTAGACTTGTATAATCTAATTAATTTAACATCTGCCAATTCAATAGCAAAAACAACAATAATAAATTTAATAAATATCATTGTGTAAACAAATATTTTCTGAGAAATATAAACCATTTTTTTTAGAAGAGGGATTAAATGATGTATGAACTGAGAACTAACTTTTTGAAACAAAACACATTTTTTATACCTCTGATGCAGTCAGGTACTTTTTGCACATTTGTGGAATAGTAAAGTGATTATATTGAATACTTCATAGTTCATTCACTATTTTCTTCAAGTTGATTACAGTAAACACTTGAAAACTACCTTTTGAATATGAAAAAAAGATTGAACATTGAATAAAGCTGAAAAGCCCGAATTTTGAAAGTTAATTGGTATGTTTGTTAATAAGTATGGAATTTTTTTCTCTGCACTTGCACTTAGTGTATATTTTTAATCATGCTCCGCAAGAAAATTTTCCCCTTACTTATGAAAGTAACACAAAGCATTGAATGTATGAAATATGACACAATGCATTCAGTAAAGGAGAAAGTAAAAACTTAAATTTTTTTTCTAAAATAAAATAAAAGCCCATATAGGCGATAATACCAACTATTTTTTCATGAATTGCAATAGATGTAAAGCTTAATGGCAGAAGAATTAGAATCGGTCATATTGCAAACACAAATGTAACAACCATCAAAACTAAATATGACTAGGTCTAAGTTATGAGACCAGTACTTTTTAATAAAAGGGACGCTTTAAGGTGTTATCTTTTAAAGAAACACACAAGAGTAGAATAATTAAAATACCATATATCAAAATGTATATATCAAAATTTTGAGACCCTAAAATTTTACAAAAATTAGGGGCTCAATTATTCTCCAGCAGTGAAGATGGACATTAATTGATAGAGAAATATTGATGCAATATGATCGATGTGATAGATATGAATAACTCTGTATGGATTTACCCCTTTCAAAAAAATTTTTAATATGTTATATACAATTAATTCTCATTTTCGTTCATAATATTTTTTTTTACATATAAAGGTTTTCTTTTAAAAAACAATACTTATTGTCACAAAAAAAAACATGACAAATATAAAAAATCAAAATATTTTTTCCCAGAATATTTAAAAAAATAAGACATTTGCCTTTAACATTTAGATGTTTGATAATTATATTTAAAAATTATATGGTTTAAAATTAGAACAGAAATGTAAGCATTGTATTTAATATATGAAATTAGTTGGAATTAGAATTTTTTTTATGTATGTAAACAAATTACAATAATTAAAACTTGCATGGACCTTTATAATGTGAATAAAAGATAAACACAATAAATGTTTCTAAGTGATAAATAATCTAATCAAAACTAAATGCATACTTACAGTAGGTGAAATATTAACTATGTCATCATTAGGTGTAGAAAAACCATTCAAAGTAAAGTCTGACATACTTCGGAAATCACCAAAAAAAGCCGCATTATCCATATGCTTGATAGCTTTACTCATTAACCTATGTTGCTCTTGTATTTGGTCAATTTTCATTTTAATCTAGAAGAAAATAAAACAAACAAGGAAAGTTAAGTAACTGTCTTCAACAAAAAAATATACAGTCAAATTAAGTATTTTAAGCTATCAAGTTTATCATTATGTTTATTTTCAAAAACTTACTAATGCAGCAAATAATATAATTGAAAAGTGCAGCCAAGGGATATGATAATTACAATTTTAGTGAATTATCTCCTTAACAGACAGACAAAAAATAAATTGCTTATCCATATCCTTGATAGCTTCACTCATTAACCTGTGCTGTATTGTATTTGATCAATTTTAATTTTGATCTGGACAAAAATTCACAAGCAAGGCAACTTTAATTGTTTTCAACAAAATATCTACAAAGACGAATTAAATTGTAAATATTTTAAGCTGTAGAGTTTTTTCAACAAGTAGCTCAAAGCTCAATTTTCAAAAACATAATAATGCAGCAGAGGATATAATTGAAAAGCATAACGCAGGAATATTATAAGTACAATTTTCGTGAATTATCACTTTAGCAAATATGCAAAAAATTAAATTGCCTACATAAGCTTTATAGTTATTTTGAAGAAAATTAAATAGAAAAAAGGATAAAATAAGGCTGTGTTTATATCGTTTTTTTTCCTCCAGAAAAAACAAATTATAAAATAAGCTTTAAATTTATTTAAAAAATAAAGAAATGAATAAGTAGGGACAAGTAATAAAGATTTATTGTGTTTTTTACAGTGGATAAATTTCAGTGCCTCAAACTCAATCTTCGAACCAAATAAGCAGAATGAAATGCAGAAAATATATGTGTTAGATTAAGCGAGAATGATGCATTTGTGTTTTCATGCATTGTTTTTAATTTACTATTGTTATCACATTAAAGTGGATTATTTGTCTTTTATAATTACAAGTGTTTTTAAAAATAAGCTAAAATTTAATAAACAATATTAAGTAATATAAAATTATTTACTTGGCTTATCTAAAGGGTGCTACTTTGTAAAGAAGAAATCAAATTGAGTTTTGCTTGAATTGAGTTTGCTTTCCATTTGGGACTCTTCTTTCCTTAACTCATTCAATTCCACATGCTTTTCATTCAGTTCCTTTTCTTGTATCTAAATAAGCATAAATTTAATTGCTCAAACAATAACATACTCTAAATTTATTATCAATATATTGAAATAATATCATTTAATTAATCTTAACAAATTAAAAGACTAAATATTTGACAAAATCAATTTAAATTTTTAGCAACAAACCTTTAATTCCATTTCCTGTTCTTCTTCCTGTTTTTTCATAGCATCAATCTGTTAAGGAGAAAAAAACATACATGATTAAAAAAATAGGATGGAACTGTGTTTTCAACAAAAAAAGTTGTATGTTTTAAAAATACCAATTCAGTTTATGGCATATAGTGCAAAGAATAAAATTTATCGAAGTATATTTTTTAAAAAATAAGTTTTTTTTGTTAAATTATTTTGAAATAAGGAGAAACAGAACTTGAACTTTTTGATAATGTGGTAAAAACAGGGTGGCCACTCAAATCAGGTTTCAAATTTCCCTGGTTTTTCCAGGTTTTCCAGTAAGAATCTTAAAACTTCCAGGTCAGCGTGTTTTCTTTTCTCATAACGCGCAGGTGGGTACAAGAAAAGTTTCAATATTATAAAGTATTTTATTTGAAATGTTATTTTTTTAATATATCATCTTGAATAGATGTGAAAAAATATGTTTAGCTTGTAGAATATATTACTTTTAGTGAATAAAAAATGTTTTAAAGTGTTAGTTTTGTAGTTTTTGCACAAAATGTGCCAAATAGCAAATACAGTGATCCCAAAAAAAATTAAATTGCCTTCTATTTCCTGTTGGAGTGGATGGATCAATGTGTATTGTACAATTTTCCATCTTGCGAAAGTTAGTTGAAAAATCACTAATTTTAATCGATCAAGAACCACGATTATTTTGAAAAGAATTAGAAATTGCAATTTTTATTTACATTAAAGTTCAAATTCAAATTTGTTTATTTTCTCAATATGGCTTAAAAGGAATATATAAAAACTAAAACGTTCTAGATACTTCAATTGTTTTAAATATTTTGGAATACGGTCTTTTTTTTTCTTTTTCCAAAATGGACTAAGATCAATTTCTGAATTCGAGCAAATCTTTTTTTGAAGAACAACCTCTTGTGCTCTTTTTGTTAAAAATTTATAGCCTTATAGTTAGGAACAATTATCCACGAAATTAATTAGTAACGCTGATGTGTGATAATTAGTTAATAACGCTTTACTGTATGAAAAACTTTGTATCGAAACTAGTAAACAATTTGAAAAAAAGAACTTGAATACTTTTTTTTAAAGGGAGTTGAAATTTTTTGCTTTGATAAGTGGGTGTTAGGGAACCTAAGATCAGAATTACTAAGATCTGAGCTATTAATTTTTTTTTCTTCTTATCTTGGCTTTTACACATTACCAACTTTTTACTCTTACAAAGTATAGTTTTATACTTAATTATTACTCACAACCCCAGTTATTCATATTGTGTTTTAATACGTTACTAGTAAAAAAAAATTTAAAAGGAAATTGCACAATTACTATATTTAAAGGCAATATGAAGACATAGTTTCAATGCCCTGATGGCTCAGGGTATAGAGTGCTTGCCTTCCAATAAGGTGAAACGGATTCGAATTCCTGCGATGGCTGGTCGATTCGAATTCCGCACCCGGCTTGCATCGACCCTAGTGCTGGCGAAAAATATCCTCAGTGGCAGACGAATCATGAGTTAGAGTCCCCTTGCCGTCAGATAAACCGCGGAAGGTTTTCGCTGTTTATCTGACTCAGTTTTCCTCTCAGGTAAATTCTCGGTTTCCTCTCAGTTTAATGCAAATGCGTGATTGTTCTATCAAAAAAAGTTCTCCATAAAGGTAAATTTCTCCGAATACTTGATCACGTGTCTTCTGGTTGGGGTTCAAAATGACAAGGCTACGTAGTTGAACATTTGAAGTCGTAAATCCAAAATTGGGTTGGCTGTTCAACGACTGTTGTAAAATAAAATTGTCAAGGAAAATCACGATGGCGCAGCGGAAAATAAATTCCCTTCCCTACCTATACCATTTATGATCCAAATACAAGAAATTTGTATTTTACCTTCAAACGTTAGCCAGCGATCAGTGCCGAAATAAATTTTTGATAACTTTTGACCAATAAATCACCTTTAAACATCAGCTCATTTTATTTTCTAGCCGGCCTTGAACATTGAATCCGTAGCCAATGTCAGCTCCAATATCCGGACAAACTAGCCCTCGTGAAGGACTTTTTAATATAACTAACCTACATTTGTGTCATATGGAGTAGAAAACGACGAAAACATCCAACGGTCAGCCGGCAGCAAGGTAACAACATTGGCTCATTGTAGGAAGATGTTAGTTTATAAAAATGAAGGGAAATTAAGAATCTTTCATAAGCATTGCTTATTACTTTCCTCTCTTTTCGTAAGAAAAAATAAGCTTGGAAGCGTTCGTTATATTTGCAAAAAAAAATTTCATGTAGCATGAAGTTGAAGTATTACAAAATGCAGATCTATGACGTAACTTAATCTCATCATAAAAACAATATATTTTGGTAAATGCATGGGAAGCAATTAGATTTCATACGAAATTATTATCAGTTCAAAAGGTTTTTTAGATATAAAAAATATTAATAAATAAAAAAAATATTAATTAAGTTTGAATTTCGCAAAGCAAAAACAAAAAATGTGTGGTCAAAACACTCCTCAGCTGAATTCTGATCGATAAACCACAAGTTTAGATTTCAATTTCCTTTCAAGAAAATCACAAGGAAAACGTAAAGTTTTGTTTGCCCATCCACAAAATTAGTTTTGACTAAAACAAATTTCAGTCAGTTTATTATTTAGAAACTTCAATCTTGAATTTCGCACTCAAACTAAATTATGGCCTAGAAACGACAAATTATAATTTGACCTCTAAACGTTTCTTCAGTGTTTCCCAAACTAATGACTTTTGTGTACCCTTTCTAAATTTTCGTAACGCTGTGTACCACTTATAAAAAAATTAATGCAGTTTTTTTTAGTATAAGAAATTGCACAAAAGTTACAAATCACAACTGGCTGTTGACACCACTAATTATTAGCTGTTAACTCTGCAAAAAATAGCCAATAGAAAAGTACGTAATCGTAAATTTTTTATGGTTAGCTTTGTTTTTAAATAAAATTTTTTGAAATTTTCGTTTGTTGCAAATTATTTTGCATAAGAACGCGTACCCCCCATAAACTGTTCCCGTACCCCTGTGGATACGCGTACCACACTTTGGGAAACACTGCGTTAGTCCGTCGTAGCATATCGGGATCCCAACTAAAAATAATGGGATTTTAGGGTCGCATGTTAACAATGCTCATAAATAAGGGCTGAGTTAGAAATCTGAATTCATAAATTACAGCCGATTTCCCTTAAAATTATATCAAATACAAGGATATTGCTTAAACTTAAATTTACTTCTGGTTTCAGTTGGCATGGAATTCAACCATAGCGCAGCATTTTACTGGATTTTAAAGACTGTTAATAAGATATCTGGTGAAGTGTAAAGTAATTTAGATCAGATTATTTTAATGAAAAAAAATTAAAAAATTACTCTGTGCAGAACAAACACTTCATTATAATACACTAAATATATATTTAATGAGTTTTAAAACCACTTGCATTTAAATAAACATAAAAGTAAATGAGTAAAATTGAAATATGTTTATTACCAGTAATTTTTTTTTTTTTGCACAGTTAATGGAAAATTATAATTTAAACATTTATAATTTAAATATGATAATCTACATGCAATAAAAACTTCATTAACACTTAAAACTATCTTTTAAAAAATACCACAATCTAGAGAATATATTTATAATAATATTCAGTCCTAGCAGCAAAGGAAAAACAAATTTAAAAAAAACATAGGACAACCATTTAAGTGACTGGTAGCAAATTTAAGCCTGATGCCTTTTACAAATATGACAGAAAAAGCATTTTTAATTTATAAGATTTCAAAAATACTAAAGTTTGAAAGAAGTTTTTTTTTCTACTCTTGAATCATCTGCATCTCTTTTTTTTGGGAGGGATTATTTGATTTAAAGAATTTTTTGTAGTACACTCATTGTAAAGGTGTTCTCGCAATTCAATGTAATTTATTTTTTAAAGTTAATTACACTTCAAAATTTAAATATACTATTATTTAATTCAAAATTTTAATATATTACAAAAGCACTTTTCGGTATGTTGTTATTTTAATTATTTAAATTGCTGAAGTTAAAATTATTAATTGCTTGAAAATTAATTCTCATATTAGCGATTGTTCACACTTTTTTTTACTATATTTGCTTCAAAATCTTTCGAATTAATCACGCGTGAATTTCGGAATCAAAATGCTCATCAATGTTAAAAAGACTCTTAACCAATTCATTCCTTTAGAATTTAGAAAAATTTATTCTAATATTTTTTTCTCTCTTTTTATTAATCTTTAATATTTTCCATATTTTCTCTGCCTTTTTAACTTAAGTGCATAGATATTATATATTGTTAGTTCAGACACTCCCATAGAAAATTCATACACACACAAGCAAAAAGGAATATACACAACTATAATAGAATTCCTTGATCAAGATAAGTAAGAATACTCACTACATATTCATCTTCATAGCCTTCTTCATCATCTGGTTCCCCCTTTGTTTGAATCACAATTTTTAACTAAGTACTTTAGTGTGTTACTCAATGTTCCAAGTACTGAAAGACATAAGTTTCAATATAAGTACACAAAGCAATGTTAAGTAGTTCTTACGCTTTTTAACACAAAATTGAAAACTCTTATCGCTAATCGCTAATGTCAAAACTTCTATACTTAGTGCAATACTTTAACTGACCTGACACTGATGTTAAAAATTTTAATTAATGAGAAAAAACATATTTAATTAAAAAAATTTCTATTATTTTGAATAATATTGTTATGCTATTATAGGGATTACATACTTCCTAGCTTTTAAAATTTCTTAATTTCACACACAGCTTTCTTAATTTCACACCTAGCTTTTCAAAGATGGTTGAAAGAATTTTTTAATTTATTTAAAAAGAGAATCTTCATCCTTATTATACTTCATTATGTTATACTTATTTAAATATTCAAGCAAGCAATATTCTGTGCAAAATTTTTATTTAAATAGGGCTTTTTTTCAGGAAACTTACTCAATTTCAGGAAATTTTCAAAGATGTGCAAAAACGATTAGAATTTTAAATAATCCAGTTGACCAGGAGAAACTGGAAAAATCCAGCAGTCTACTGGAAAATCCAGTAGAGTTGGCAGTTATGTTTTTATTTCTATGAAATCTATTTTCTATTTTTTGAAAAAAATTTTTTAAATTGTTCAACGAGTAGAAAAAAATTATTGTTTAGTTAGAACTTGATTAGATTAGTTATTGGTAGTTAAGGGAAAAAAACTTATTTTAAAGAATATGTTTTTTTTCGAAGTTTTTAAGTTTTTTTTAAGAATAAGATTACGTAAACTCCTGAAAACCATAATTTTTAGAGCTTAACCGTAAGACTGTAATAGACTATGGAATTGTAATATTTACCACCACTGCATATAGTTTGCCAAAAGTAAGAAATCTCCTAGCCATTCGTCTGGAGCATATGGCGGTATCTATGGTAATGAGGTATAATTATTTTAAGTAGGGTTGTGGGGTCACTGTTTAGAACAGGTTTTAGCTCTGGTCAGCAAGAGAAAGGGTAGCTTTTTCTTCTGTGTTAACCCTATGGGGAAGTGAAACTACTCTCCCTGAAATGCACTACTCTTGTTTCCATAGCAGCAGATGGCCTCAGACTTTGCGGTGGGGGGAGTTTTTACCGTGTACAAATTATACATAGCATGCAGATCCAAAAACATTGGAAATTAAATAAAACTTACCAACTAAAGGATCATTGGGTAAGCTGATGCAGGCATATGCTGCACCAGGAGCACTGTACTGTAATTTTGAGCAAAGAGAGTAACAAACCACTTTAAAACCTTCACTGGGGTCAACCTGAACATAAACGTTTTCCAACACTTGATCTGACAAGGTGTTCGTACAGTCAAACTGAAACAAGAGTGCTTTTCTTTAAGAGCTTTTCAATTATTTTGTTACTACATGCAGGAAAATATATTTTGAAGAAAGATTGCATTAATAGCACATCATTATATCATGAAATATTTTAATATTATGGGATGAATAATTCTGAGAAAACTAAACGGAAAAAATACGTTTGAATTTTTTTCCCTTTTCGTTTTATAATTGACATGGAAGAAAAGCATATTTTGTAGTGATTCTGCTAGATTTTATAAACTATGGGTTCTGAGGATCTCGGACAATCAAATTTCAGTGTCCCTTTTTTTAGGAAAAACAGATCCTCCTTTAAAACAATACGTTAATAGATTTAAAATAACAACATAGATTTAAAATAATCAGCGAATAGAAAATCGATATAGATCAGCGAATAGAAAAGCAATGATTAGGACTGGGCCATAAATCGCAAACTATCAATTTAATGGACAAATCGTCATGGCTATATAGTTGCGGTTGTTTCTTACAAGCATCGGAAATCTGATTTAAGCCGCCGATATAAGACGATTGTGATTTGGCGATATAACATGCGAGGATCTTTGCCCCCGCTGACATAGAAAATTTTGATTTCATCTAGCTACGAAGATGTTGGTTTTATCTTGATAGGAAATCTTGATGGCTTCGTGATGTTGAATGGCAAAGAGCGAATTGCATCAGAAGTCAATGACTTTGTGCTAGAATCAGCGTTGAAGAGTAGAATACAATGCACAGTTTTTTTTTGTGCTTTTACATTTCCTCAAGATTGTATAACTAGCTCTCTAAAAAACAATATCAAACATATTCTTGAAAAAAAAATTGGATGACTAGAGCTGTTAGGTAAGAAAAGAAATTTCATTAAAAGGAAGAGATAAAATAAACAATGCATACTAAGCAGAACGAATATTAAATACTTTAAGCTTATAAAGTTACTGACAAGTGTTTATGCAAAAGATTAAAGCAGAGATCAGAACTACAAAAAGAAAAAAACTGTAAACTTCGATGCTACGAATAATTTTAGTAAGTTACTATGCGTGATAATACCTTTAATTAAGAAAATCAATTTCATTTTGTATTGAGTATAGTGAAGAAAAAATAAAAAGGTAGAAAAAAGCACTGCAGTTTTTTTTTTAAAAAATAAAAGTAATTCTCTAATAAATAATTCAAAATAATATTTATAATAAATGATTCTCTAAAGTAAATAATTCAGAAAATATCTAAACCGTTGGTTTTAAATGTTTATTTAAGCCAATCCACAGTTCATGTCTCCCTCCCTTATCACAATTTCAAGAAACCCCTTTTTAAAGATAAGGGTATTTATTTTATTTCAGTAGAACAGCATTTCATCTTCCCCTCATCTTTTGTTTTCCCAGACGTATTGTCTTGTTTTGACGGTCACGTCCGGGTCACCAATGTGGGGATAGAAGTTATAGACAATTTCAACCTTAATCTATGGTAAGGTACCCCAACATAGAATCGAGTTATCATGTCTTATATACTAGTGAATTGGAATTAGTGGTAGATACACTACAGTTCCATAACAAATGATATTCTTATTACATTAAAAGGGCTAGTTGAGACAGTTTATGAGACTATCAGAGTTTTACATCTATCGTTCACAAATCCCTGTGGCAGAATTTTTTTGGGCTTTCTGCGAACTGCGAAAATATCTTTATGCTAGGTACTTTTAATAATAACAAATACACATGTAACTAATTTAAAGTAACAGAAGCGTCAACCTCAAAAAAAAAAAAAACTTTTTGGATAAAATAAAATAATTTTTCAAATTGAATATGTAATATTATTTTTATTCCAATATTATGAGCAATATTCTCGCATTTTGTAACAGGAAAACACATTAATTATTTACTTTTTTGCATTTTGTGTATCATCACATTAAAAAAAAAAAAAAAAGTTGTGATATCTATTACTAAAACTACCACAAAAAAATAGATCAACGGCGAAATCACGCAAATCGGACTCTTCAAAAGAGGTTACTAAATGTGTGATTCTATTTTGAGATTCAGTAATTGTAATAAATAATATCGTATTAAAAATATTGGTTTTTGAAAACAATGTGAAAATCAATAGTAATAAATGTATAAAAAATTTAATTTAGCGGAAAAGAAAACTAAATTTTTCACTTCAATATTCTTTTTTTTTAATTATTATTCTCAAATGAGAATAGAAGAATCATAAGCATTTTTTCCTCACTCAGATGCACGAGAAAGCCATCTTTAAAATATAATTCTGAAGAAAAAATAAAACCTTTCAAAAATTTCTGCAGAAAAAAAAAAGACAAAATTTTTTACTTTACAAAAGAAAAATCTTTCTGCAAGAATTCGGTATTGTTCTGCGACAACGCCGCCACGATTCAGCCGCGGGGTCAGAAATTATACCAATAGTTAAAAACTAATAATTTGGTGAAAATACCTCAAACATCACATTTGATGTTTATGCATCAGTTCATAAAACTTGCTATATTGCAGAAACTGATGAAGTACAGATCCAATACCATTGCCAACAATGAATATTTGCAATCGCTTTGAAACAATTTTCTGTCTGCAATACAAACTTTCTATTGTTTGCAGTTAATGGTCCCAGGAGAAATGATAGAGGTTCAACTACAAAAAAAGATTTCTTACCTGCAACCAACACAATGTGATTCGTGAATGTGTGCGCATCTAACAACAAACTCAGTCTCGGATTCAGTGAGTTCAACAGAAAGAGAAGATTTAAAAAAATTCAAAATAAAAAATAATATTTTTGAAAACCACGTTTTTGTAGTGGAGAATAATAATTAAAAAAAAGTTGAAAAACGAAAAACGTGGGGCGCATGAAATACATAACAGTAATGTTATATTAGTGTGTGTATGTGTGCTCTTGAGAATATGTGTATGTATATCTGTAATTGTTATTGTATCTGAATGTGGATGTGGAATGTGTTTGTGTATATGCATATGTATGTGGATGTATATGTGGCTGTGCATGTGTATGAGTAAGAAAATTTGTATATCTACTGTTATGTATTTCATGTGCCCCACGTTTTTCGTTTTTCAATTTTTTTTTAATTATTATTCTCCACTACAAAAACGTGGTTTTTAAAAATATTACTTTTTATTTTGAATTTTTTTATTTTAAATTATAATTTTTTTAATTTTTATTTTATATTTTTTAAAAATTATTACTTTTCAATTATTATTCTTCATTACAAAAAACGTGGTTTTTAAAAATATATATTTTTATTTAGATTATTTTTCTTAGTCAAAAGTAGTCAAGACTACTACAAGACCACTACTAATATAATAGAACTTTCATTTTAAATTAGGGATACAAAAATCTCGCGATCGTAACGAACTATATCGTTGTTGTATGAGACCAATACCTGCGATTTCAATATGAACAGTCATTCATTTACGCTAGAGACGTCGTTAATGTAGCACGTAG